GCCCAAGAACAGCCTGTCATTTTAAATGTTCAGAACAGTTTAATATCAAAACTTCAACCTGATTTTCATCTAACCTTCCAGTTCAATCTGGCTTCAGGCTTGGAAGCCTGCAATAGAGAACTGAGTGTCAGTGTCTTCTCTCTTCCTTTATCCACCTTTTCTCCAGCTCCCTAGCAAATGTTTTAGACCCCTCAAGGTCAGACCCATGGAGACAGGGAAAGAGGGAGCAAAGACGCAGTCTTGCAAGGCTGATAGAGTTGTGCTCAGGCCTCTGTCTTCTGGTGCTAGCTGTGGTATAGCTGCCTCTTTCTCTAATGGGACTTCTTCAAGTTTATCTCACTCTCTATCTCCCTGGCTAGGAACAACTCTCCTCTGGCCAGCAGCTTATGTCTCCCCACCAGCCCTGAGATTCTGACTGCCCACCTTTTACTGGGCTCCCTTCTCTAGGGAGTTCTCTTGGGCAAGATCCATTTGTCTTAGTCCGTTTGGGTTGCTATAACAAAATACCACAGACTAAGTAGCTAATAAACAACAGAAATTTATTCCTCTCAGTTCTAGCATCTAGAAGTCTGAGATCAGGGATCCAGCAGGGTTGAGTGAGGGTTCTCTATTGGGTTGCAGGCTGCAGACCTCTCATTGTATCCTCACATGATGGAAGGAGTTAGGCAGTTCTGTGGGATTTCTTATAAAAGCACTAATCCCATTCATGAGGGTTTCATTCTTCTGACTTAATCATCAATCATCTCTCAAAGTTCCCACCTACTAATACTGTCACATTTGACTAGGTCATAGGGGTGGAGCCTTCATGAATGAGATTTGTGACCTTCTAAAAGAACTCCAGAGAGCTCCCTTGCTCCATCCACCATGTGAGGACAAAGGGAGAACACGTCTATCTATATGATCCAGAAAGCAGGCCCTCATCAGAACCAAAACTGCCAGCACTTCGATCTTGAACTTCCTGCCTTCAGAACTATGAGAAATAAATTTCTGCTCTTACAAGCCACCCACTCTATGGCACTTGTTATAGAAGCCTAAATGGATGAAGACAACACCTTTTCTCCCTAGCCTGAATGGTGGTTTAAGGAAACGTTAAATGGTACAATGTGTTCTCTGTGAAGATGGAATTGAATAACTTAATCTAGGGATGCCTGGCTAGCCCTGTTAGGTCTTTGTAAACTGTTTGATGACAAATGTGGATGATTACTTGAGATGGCAACTGCAAAAGTCAGATATGTAAGATACATTATTATTTACAACCTCTGCCACATATGCTCAAAATCTCAGGCATGTAAACATCTGTTTGTTCCAGGAAGCCATCAAAAATGTTACTAACTCATAAATAATGACTTCATTGTGCCCCACAGTGACCTCCTTTTTCCCAGTACATATTAGCAGTTGCATTTCTACAAGCAAACCAAAAGATTGCTTATTAGTCTATTATTCACTTAATTAAGAGAGATGGGAAACATGTGGTCCAATTCAACAAGTTTAAAACCAGTCCCTAAACAAGTACATTTTTAAGCAATGATAATTTAGCATGAACATTCCCAGGCATCTAACGAATGGCTACACGCATGTGATCAAAATATATCATGGATAACCAGGAAGTCTGTCACCCTGTGGTCAGTGTTGCTTAAAGTCAGTGATTAATCCTTGGGGCTTTTTATACACCAGTCTACAAAAATGATCTCAGTTTAAATCACTACTAAAATAAAAATGAAAGTGACTTTATTTAAATATCATTAAGTGGAAGAAATAAGGAAGTGGTTTGGCTTCTTTCCCTACCCCTGGAAAATAGCATGACACACAGTAAGTGCTCAAAGAGTATTATTCTTGTTGATGAAAGGAGCATAAGGACAATAATTTTAAGTGTTCTCAGGACAGGCCGTATCACTGAACCACTCTTGCCCACAAGCATTGGTTGGAATCACAGTTATTTATTCAAAAACTATTTGCGCTGGCACTGTGCAAGATGTTGGGAATGGTACCGTCACCCAGACGTAGTCCTGTCCACAATGTGCTTGTAAGTATTAGGGAAACAAGGAGATGGAAACTGAAAATAAAGGGTGGTAAGACTTCTGATGGAAGTACTCTGTTGGCTCTGGAAGCACCTAAAAATCTGAAAATGCTTCAAGGAGGGAGTCATATCTCAAACCTGGGATCTAAGAAATGAACTTGAGTTATCCAGGAAGAGGAGAAAGGAAGAGTCCCAGGAGCTTCACAGACTAAGGCTAGGAGATGAGAAAGGGTGTTCAGGATACTTTAAACAGCTCAGTATGATGAGGTAGAGGTACCAATGGTGAGAAAAGAGACCAGAAAGGTGAGCAAACAGCACAAGATGAAGGTCCTTGATGGTCATGTGGACAAACCTGGACTTTGTCCTAAGGGTAATGAGGCACAATTAAAGGAGTGTAAAGTGGGAAAAGGGGGCTGCATGCTCTGATGTGGATATGTGCAAAGAGCACTGGCTGCAATGTGAAGAATGGAAGAAAGGGGACAAAAATGGAGCTAGGGAACTGTTGCATTAACCAGGTGAGAGAGACAGTAAATCCAACTAACATAGGGGCAGTGGGGGTAGAGAGAAATAAATAGATTTGAAATATTAGAGGTAAAATTGATGGGTCTTGGTGACTGACTGGACATGGAACGTGTGACATAGGGAGGAACCAAGTGTGACACCAGGATTCTGACCAGGACAACTAGAGGGATAATGGAGTTATTCACTGAGAAAGGGAGTACAGTCATGTGCTACATAATGACATTTTGGTCAATGGAGGACCACATATATGAGAGTGGTCCCATAAGATTATAATGGAGCTGGATTTCCTATAAGAAATAGCAACGTTATGTGGTTGAGGAGAATTTTTTTTTCCTCAATGGGACTAGTATCTGTGGGACTTGGCAGTAGATTCCCTCTCACTCACAGCACCTCAACTTTGAGTGCACAAATTGTATTCCAATCAGTCAGCCACTCACCTGTTTCAGTACAGAGGAGCCTGTCTCCCCCAGGCTCCTACATATTCAGAGTGCATTGCTGTAAATTCTTTGTTGAGGACCTAAGACCCTGCACAAGGACACAGGTCCACGGGAGCTACCTTAACAAGTACTAAGTGCCACTGCCATTTTAGTAAAAGCTTTCTGGTAGTGTGGAACCAGCCTGTCCCTGTACTTTGGAAATATTTTCAGGTTGTAAAGATGTAAAGATTAGGTAAGTTTTATTTCTTCTATCAATTCAATGCCAGATAGGGTCAATGGAACCAAAAATAAAGTCCCAACGTGAAAATATTGAGTCCTCAGTTCTATATCCTCTCCATGTTAAACACCTTTTTATTTTATGAATACCACAAAGTTCCTTAATCTGACCGTGGCTCCAACACATAATAGCCCAAACCACATTGTCATGACAACCCCTGTGTTTCTTTGTCTCTTTATCTTGATTTCTTACTGATTCCTTTCACTCCCTCCTGACAATCACTATTATGAGGAGCTACATCTTACCCAGCCAGTTTCTCTTTATCAATATTTCCAATCAGTCCAGCCCACATCTGACTCTGTCAGAAGGAGGCAGGGGGAGAGCTTGTGGGACAGTGTTTATAGTCTACAGTAGTGCACAGTAATGTCCTCGGCCTTCACACTCGCTCACCACTCAGTCACTAACTCAGCAACTTCCAGTTCTGCAAACTCCATTCATGGTAAGTGCCTTGCACAGGTGTATCATTTCTTCTTTCATGCTATATTTCTATTATACTCTTTCTCATATGTTTAGATCATAAAAACTTATCATTATGTTATATTTGCCACAGTATTCAGTACAGTAACATACTGTACAGGTTTGTATCCTAGGAGCAATAGGCTTGTACCATACAGCCTGGGTGTATAGTAGGCTATACCACCTAGATTTGTGTAAGTGCATTCTTTGAGGTTCTCACAACCACAAAATCACCTAATGTTGCATTTCTCAGGACATATCCCCATCATTAAGCAATGCATGACTGTACAGTGGGGAAATGGAAGTGGAGGCAGAGATGATGAGCTCAATTTAGGATGTTCCCATTCTAAAATGCTGGTAGGATAGCCATACGGAAATGACAAGTATGCTATTGAATTTTTATAGACTCTATGGCGAACAGATAAACAGAAATGGAACCCACAAAGGATTCTAAGAAGTTGTGGTGCAAAAAAACAGATACCACTAAAGCCAAGGAAGACACTTCCAAGAAAACAATGGTCACCAGCATTAGATGCTACTTAGAACTCAAATCAGAAAATGTTGAAAAAGGAGCCTTAAAATTTAGCAATGTTATTGGTGATTTTGGCAGGAGTATCAGAGGAATGTTGGGACAGAAGCCAGACTTCAAGGCAAATTTCAGAGTGGAGGCTAAGGAAGTGGTGATATTGAGTATAGACACCTGTTTCAAAACACTTGACCGAAGCCAAAAGGAGCCAGATAAGGAGGTGGGTGGTTGTTTTAAAATATATGTTTCATTATTATTCCAGTAATGTGGGGCCAATAGATCAGGAGACTAATGCCATTGAAAAGATAGTTTGTCACTCACAGCTCCCAAGAGAAGGGGGCAACACCAGGCCACACAGGGCCTGGTGGGAAGCAGAGGGAAAGGGGGCATAAAAATGGCAGGAGACTTTATTATGGTTTTCACAGGAAGAGAAAGCAAGGCAGGGTAAACAGGCTTAGGATTTAGTTAAAACAATTTCAGCATGCTCTGGGGCATAGGGGCTGTCTCTAATTGTGTGGTATCTGGTCCTGGGGTGATTAGGGCAGGAGGATAAAAGAGCCCTGTGAGAGCCCAATAAAGGAGGTGGTTGGGGTATGGTCTCTGAATTGTTTAGTTTGCATATTAAAAAAAATCTACTCTCAGGTGAGTTGCTTTATATCTCCAGGAATTAGCAGTCCCTCCCTGGACAACAAGGCCTCAAATGCCAGAGCATCAACAAACAGAATTATGAAAATATAGTTAATACATTGGAAAAGAATGTAAAAGCAAGGGAGGGTATTATTTTTAGGGTGGGGGAAACTTGGGCTTGTTTAGATGCTGATTAAAGCAATCAGTAGCAAGTGTGACAACAGGAGAGAGAAGAGACCTACAACAGAGCAAAGTCAATCAGACTGTAAGAGAAATAGAGCCTTAGAACTGACCTTGGCAATGAGCAATCTCTTTAATTATGATGGAGAGGAAAGGAGGAGGAAATGGGCATCTCTGCAGGTAAGTGTATGGGAAAAATTCGGGGACGTTTTTCTCTGCTGGCTTTTATTTTCTTTTATAAAATAGAAGAAAAATTCTCCAACAGAAGACTGATTAAGACTAGAATTTTTCTTCTATTTTATAAGAAAAAAATAGATCTATCCATATGTAGATAGGTAGATATAGATAGATAGATGAAAGCGTACAAATTTTTCTCTGCCTGTGGTTTCACTTAAAATTAGAAAACAAGACAAAACCAAGCTTATTCAATCATTCTCTTTCCTTCCTTTAACAGGTAGAGTTTAACTCCCAGACACCAACTGTAGTCCCAGGAGACACTTAGCCAAGCTCCAGTGAGCAGGTAGGGGACCACCACAGCTACTGATGAATCCTGGGTGCCATCTCAGATCATAGGTGTGATTGCTATCTTCCCGGTGAGCTTTCAACCACTGGAACATTGTGGGAGGACAGAGAAAGGAGGGTTTTCTGAGCCCAAGAGGATCTGGTAGCCCTAGGGAAGGCTCATTGAAGAAGTAGGGACCTCAGAGCAGCTATGGTTAAGGAGAAGGAAAGAAGAAGCTAAAGGGAGAGTCCAGAAACGGCCGGTGCAATCCACTCCTACGCGAACACAATCAACTGCCTAAATCCCACACTGCAGGTTCTCCAGGACTCGGAAAGTCTCCCTTCCCCCTCCACTCCCCCTCCCCTTCTCCCTCTCACTTTTATGATTCTTTAGACCAGTTTCTGTATTCACTAGCTTCAATAAAGCACTAATCTGCTTCAAAACCCAAGAGATTATTTCCTGTTATTTAGCTAGCTGGCTTCATAATACACTCCCAGAAAGCTGAAGTTGTTTCAGACTCCCAGGCCCTACTTCCCACTGGGGCTATACCCAGAAAGTGGAACGCCACCTCACACAGCTGACACCAAAAGGCCGTAGGTACCTGTGCTTGCACAAGGAATCCAGACCCCATCCTGGAGTGTGCATTACTTCTCTCAAAAGAAGTTTTCAAGCTTCTGGCTTTCCTTGCTGTTCTTAGCAATCTGCTTTCCAAATCAACCACATAGCAAAGCAGTGACCAAGTTATTTGCCAAAGTGGTGAGGCCTCCCACTGGGTCTTGAGGACAAAACAGAGAATCTTCTCCCACTCCTTGACCTCTGCCCCTACTCTGGGGATGGGGTTTTGTGTACCACAAAGAGGGGAGTCCTTGAGAGGTCACCCCATCTGCCACCAGCGCCCCCC